CCACTTTCATTCTCGAGCTCGTCGTCAAACACATTCGCCCACCTACTCCTCGGGGATATCGGGGGATTCTTCTTCAACTCCTCACCCCTCATAAACTTCATGCCGGTTTTCGTGAACTTCCAAACCCTGACATTCTCATCATCATTCAAACTCGGTGGGCTATTTCTCAGCTTTTCTCTCCATATTTAGATTTCTTTCTCGCCCATTTCTTGCCCAATTTCACATCATTACTAGCTCCATCACCATCTTTCAACTTACCACCAACTCCAAGTTTATCCTCAAAACCATCATTAACATTTTTACCCAACTCCAAAACATCATTCGTACCTACAAAACCATTTCCATTAGATAATTTAAGATTAGAGTTGAGATGTACCTTCTTGTCGATATCCTCCATGAATGAGCATTGACCAACTTTGGGTGGAGCTTCCCGGCATTGTTCATCGTGAAAGTAGCAATCTTTTCATGAGCCGAAAGAGTGACTCGTCCCTCCTTGACGTCGATAATGGTGTTGGTCGTCGCCATGAAGGGTCGACCAAGCAAAATCGTGTGCTCCTTCCCGGTGTTCGGGACATCTCCAACGTCAAGGACTACGAAATCAACCGGTACAACAATCGAGCTCACTTTGACCAACACATCTTCAATTATACCTTTTGGCTCCCGCAAGGTGCGGTCCGCCAATTAGAGGCTCATCCGAGTCGGCTTAAGCCCTTGCAAACCTAATTGCTTGTAGATCGAGTAGGGCATGAGGTTTATACCGGCTCCCAAGTCAAGCATCCCGATCGTCATTTTTCCATTCTCAAAGGTTATCTTCATGACAAAGGCTCCCGGGTCACACTCTTTCCGAGGTATGGTAGTCGAGGCTACCTCGAAAATCATCACCTTCTTGTTATCCACGAACCTCCGCTTTTTCGAAACTAAGTCCTTGAAAAATTGAACATATGCCGGCACGTTTTTGATAACGTCTAGGAGTGGGAGGTTCACGTTTACCTTCGAGAGCATGTCAAAAAGATCTTGAAATTGGCGCTCCTTCTTTGTATCTTTCAAGCGGCTCGGGAAAGGAACCGGTGGTCGGTAAGGCTCATCTGCTTTGTGCAAGGCCTCACGGGCATCTTTCTTCCAACTCTCCTTCTCGATCCTCTCGTCAACAACGGCTTTCCCTTTCGAAACATCAACTTTCTCACCCGGCTCATCATTATCCTCATCAACAACAACTTCAAAAACCTCATCTTTTTCGGGCATCTCCACACGATTATCAATCATCTTACCGTTCCTCAAGGCCGTGATGGCATTCAAGTGCTCGGGTTGGCTCGGGAGCTTGTCTTTCATTTTGCTCCTTTGGATTTCTCCGATCGAACTCCCGAGTTGCCCCATTTGAGTCTCGATGCATTTAAGAGAGGCTTGGATCGAGGGCACTCCCTTGACGGTATCGTGCAAAGTAGAGACGGTAGAGGCCAACGATTGAAGACACTTCTCTAGGCTCTCGATCCGGTTATCCGAGGACTCTC